TTACCATTAGTTCTATTCAATTTGTTTTGCTTGTTCTCAATGTGGGATGGTAGGGGTTTATATAAAAGGAATAATATTTATATTTTAAAGATTAGAAAAAAAATTATTTTAAAATTATTTTAAAATTATAATTATTCAATAAATTTTTATTTAAAAAATTAAAATATTTTATTTTTAAAATATGAATTAACATATTTTTTGTTATTTTTATAATAAATTAAAACGACTTAATTTTAAAATAATTTTCATCTAAATATTTATGAATTAAAACAGATAAATACTTACCTCTTATACAAATATCACAATCATAGCCCAAGTTTAATTAGACTTCTTCTAAAGAAAGACTTCTTATTTTCTCTCTAATTATGTTTTCTCACAGTACTTGAAATAGACTTCCAGGCTTTGTTGTATTATTATCTCAATAAACCATTTCGATACCATGTTGGAAAGTTGCTAAGTTGATGCATAAAAAAATGTCAAAAAACGAATTTAGACAAAATCCGTGCAAAAGCTTTTATAAAATGGGGAAATGGATTTTATAACAATTAATTATGTCCTTTTTTTTTCTTTTTACTTTTTTTTTTTGAACTACTTAATTAATGATGTAGGGGATCTGAACCCAACTTTTGCATTGTGGATGTAATTTATAAATTGACTTTTAAATCATGAATGTTTGTTGGGAATTTCGAGCACTACAATCCCATACAAACAGAAGCAATAAAGAAATTGAGACAATAATTTAACGTGGTTCGACTTATACACCTCTCAACAAGTCTACGTCTATGAAAAAAAGAGAAATAAATCCACTATTAAGAAAAAGAGTACAATAATTTAAAAGCTCTCTCACTCAAGACACTCAAGAAGCACTCAACACCCTAGTTTCAATGTATAGAAGCTCTCAAATTCTCCTAATACTCCCTCTTAATCTACACAAGGATTTCTCACAATTTCTCTCTTTCTTTTCTCTCACAAGAGCTCTCACTCAATTTCTCTTGCTTTCTC